GTATTTATTTAATGGTTTATATAATTTATTTCTAATTATGTCAGTGTTGGTCCTCCGTACTGCAGAAGCCTGATAATCATCTCATATCAGGTGTGTTGGAGCAGAGAAACAAGAAGAACCTGCAGGGCTGCGGCCCTCCAGGACCAGGACTGACCAAGTCTGTCCTAGTGACTCCAAGTCCACAACAATGTATTTAACATGTCTGATTTGTCTCCTCTAAATGTCTTCAGGAATAAACTCGGAGGTCAGGTACTCCCTGCTGGCAGGCGACGGCGGTTATTTCTCCCTGGACGAGTTTTCGGGGGTCCTGTATCTGGAGCGAGCCCTGACCTCTGAAACCCCGCCCACGTTCGAGCTGAAGGTGAAGGCCACGGACCGCGGCCTGCCTCGGCACCTCTACTCTGTGGCCACGGTGACGGTGGACGTGGTCTCCCTGGACGACTACCAGCCGGTCTTCCTGAGCTCGGAGTACGCCGCGCAGCTCCCAGAATCCTTAGYGGTGGGGTCGGAGGTGCTGAGCGTCTCCGCCCTCACCAGAGACGGCGGCGGCCCGGATCACGTCAAGTACCGCATCGTCTCAGGGAACGAGGACGGCAGGTTCCTGCTGGACCCTCAGTCAGGTCAGGAGAAACCTTTTAAATCTGCTTTTTATTCTGCAGGTGTAACTTTGTGTCAGTGTTACTGCAGTATTATTTTATTTATTATAAAAATCATGTTTTACTACAAAATATACTTGTGTTACAGGAACATGTGTCTGTGTGTCAGTAAACTGTAGAGGAAATAAGTTTGTCTCAGTTTTAGACGAGCTTTCTGTCAGAGACAAACTCCTCGTCTTCTCTGTGACGACAACTGAGAGGATTGAATACTTCAGATCAGGAAGCAGAAAAAAATATTTAAAAAGTATTTAMAGCTTTAATCTGATTTCCCTCTCAGATTCTGAGGGCAGCAGCTTCAATCAGTGGCTGCATCACAGACTGAGAGCTTTTAGGTTTTAGATTAAATTAATACATTTCCTGTGTGTATTAATACACATCAGCTTACAGCCACTGTGATAAAAACTCTGTGAGCTTCAGACTCAGGCAGGAGGTAAAACAATAACTACATACAGTATGTAAGAAGATGTATAAGTATGCAGGTAGGGAGATGAGTAAATAAGTAGGTACTGTAGGTAAAAAAGTATGTAGGTACATAAGCATGAAGGTAAAAAGTATGTAGGTACATAAGTAGTTAAATAAGTATGTAGGTACATAAGTAGTTAAATAAGTATGTAGGTACATAAGTAGTTAAATAAGTATGTAGGTACATAAGTAGTTAGCAAAATGAATCAGTTATTTATTGCTGTCAAAACCTGACGAAATTTTGCTGATGGTGAAAAAAATAAACTCAACTTTTTCACTCCTGACCTCTCTTTAACCGTCACACTGCCCCCTGCTGGCCACMCTGAGAATCAGCTTCCAACCAGGTCATGGTTAGAAATCAGCCTAATGTTTTATTTTAAAAAAAAGTTCAAATATTTCAGTTTTATAGAGGTTAAAATGAGGTGAAAAGTAACWGCTGGCCCCCGTTAGCTCTGAGTTTGTCCTCTGTTCACACCACATCCTGCAGGTCTGACAGGTGGGTAAACTAAGCCCAGGTAGCAGCTTCTAACAGGACGACTGCTGACAGACGTGTTGTCTCAGCTGCATACATGTYGTTTTTTACACATCTCTTTCTGATGAAATGCTTTTGACTTTGTGCACTAAACATTTCATCCAGCTTTCTTAATGTGCCATAAAAAAAACATTTGAGAGGCTGAATCTGCTGCTTCAGACCACAACACATAATTCATTTGTTTTGTTTCTTCACGTCGACACAACGACTCAGAGTTAAGATAAAGATGGCTCCTCTGTGTCAGAAGGAAACATCCTGCAGGATGCAGCTCAGCACAGAGAATCAGATGTAAACATCTCTCTGGACCCGGATCAGGAGGGTTTTTTAACGTCTGACAGCCAGTAGTTTGTCTCCTGTCACTGCMGGTGCCAGGTGGTCCAGGTTTACCTGCCGTGGCAGAGAAACGTGTCGGTGAATCACAGGTGTGCTGCAGCTGACACACCTGAGTGATGAGGAGAGAAACACTCTTCATCTGACGACAGCAGGTCAGGACGGTCCTGTGAGACTGAGTTCCACAGAGACCTGTTCACTGTTCATGACTGAACAACTCTGACAAGTTCCATTTATAACCTTTTAATTTACATTTAGAGAAAAAATACTAATTAAATTAATCCAACCTTTTCAACAAGATGATTTGATTTTATTGTTTTAA